GTAATCATGTCGGTCTTCGAGTACCTCATTTCCACGACAACCATATCAAACAACTCATCATCGGAGCAGAGCTATGGTACTAAGTGAACGTCAGTTAGATCTTATAAATTTCATGAAGGTCTATCACATTTGGATGCAACGAAACGTTCTCGATGATCTTTCTCATCACAGGGATTTCATTTGTTTAACAATGCTTCAGAGATGGACACCTAGTACTATGTTGTCAATAACACCGCCATTGAAGAATCTCTAGTTTTCTCAGCTTGAGGCATTGGCATCACCATGGTGGTGAATCTTTTCAGAGTTTTAAAGGTGAATTCTTTGTATTTTTCACGGTCTTCATTACTTTTATTTATACATTTTCCTACAACTGAGAACTCTCCTAATTTGACTTCAAATAAGTACAACTTGACATTTAAATCTGAATTCATTATGTAACATTTAAATATGACAATAGGAATAAAATTACACCCCTCCAATTTAATCCAATTTAGATTGAAAAAGGAAAAAAAATGTAAAGACAAATAGTATTTTTCACAATATATATATTTTGAATGCGAGAAAAGTAATTCCTAGAGAAAGAATATAAACATGCAAAAGACTTCTCATACTTTTTTCATCATACCTAACATAATTGCCAGAAAAAAATTGTTCTTTTTTACTTTAAAAATTTGATGTCTCTAAATCCACGAATCTAGAAATTCATTTCGAACACTTGAACCTTCTCAAACTATTTCTTTTAAAGAACCAAAAAGATTTGTGAAAAAACAATATATACTAAGAAGAACAAAAGGACTTGGACGTGTAGTGGATCTTGAAGTACTATTTATACATCCCTCTGACCAAATCTACCCACATTAGGATTAATTGTTAATGGTTGATCGAGTTTGATAGATTCACCTTCTGAAACAAGAAATTATGGTCATGGGGAAATTATAACAACCACTTGATGTCCGTCCAAAGCATCCATTATGGTTAATTCGTACCCCCATTTTCTTTTCATATTATTTTGCTTATTATACCTATTTTCGTAGCATTATAAATTGTATTGTTACTTTTGTTCCCGCCGAGATAAATCTGTCCCCTTCCCTTATTTCTATCTACGTATATGGGATATTTTAAGAAATGAACATTCTTATTACTAGCAAGGTCTAGGGAAAGAATAGGAAAGGTGATTTCATTATATTTTTTTACCAATAACAAGACCTATCACAAGAATATTTTTCTTAGTGGGGAGATAGTTCTGAAAAGACAAATTGCATATATTTTCATTCATCTCGGGTGAAATACGATTAGTAAGAGCTAACTCAAACCCCTCAATTAAAATACGAACAACATCCACATTAAAAGTCCCTTTTTTACTATTAGCAAGAACTTGTTTCAGTTGCATATCATAAGGAATTCTAATAATCGCTTCAAATACAGTATCCAGAAGTACCGCTTGTGGAGCCTCAATATCCATGGGTTTATTAGCTAAATGGAAATTGGCACATACAATACACCCGGTTGCTTCTCGTGGATTTTCATACCCCTGCTACGCAAAAATGGGATATGCATTTGAAATGGATGCCCTGGGTATTATATAGATCATGAGCGATACAACAATGGATCGAGTAATCTCATTCTTTATCCAAGAAAAAATATTTCTAGTTTGCATGGTCCAATCATTGATCCCAAAAATTTCTATAATAAAATTAGGTAGGTCACTAGTATAGTTCCCTATCCACGATTCTGCTATTCACTTTAACTGAAATATTGAAAAGTGAAAAAAATGACTGAAATAGAGGAGTCTTCTAATGGGTATAAAGAGTAAGGAAAAATTATAATTGAATCCGTGAATAATTTTTCAGTCATTCATTGAATGATAAATAACTACAAGTGATGGAGATACACGATTTAAATAACAAAAGATCAATATTTAAAAATTGTATCTAGAATGACTGGAAAGGTAGAAACAAGACCAGATATAATTTGATCATTATGAGCAAATCCAAAATCTTTGTAGATATAACCATTAGTTCCCAACCATGTGGCAAATGGAATCCAATGCATAAATCTGTTAATAAAAGAATATAAAAAGCTTTTATTGTGTCGCTTAAATTATATAGGAATTCTTGAACCAATAGTTAAGAATATGAAGTGCTTCATTCCCCCGAAACAGAATAACCACTTAGAATAACAAAATAGATTAGATTTGTTGAGAAGTGAAAAATCAAATGGATACGATCCTCATTGTGTATCTTGATCAATTGGATTGTTTCTTTGTGGATACTTATACGTAATTTTTGTAGATGTGTTTTCGGGTATTCTTTTATCATTTCGTCCAACAGGAAGAGTTCCTCTACTGTTATGAATTGTTCTAGAATACTCTTTTCTTGAATATCACTAAAAAAGGTTTCAGATTGCCTAACATTCCTCCAATTAGTAATCCAAGATTTCAGACTTTTATTAAATGAGAGAGAGATCCATCTAGGGATGGCCATGGGTCGGGTTTCGGCCAACCCGACCCAACACAAAAATTTTACATCCTTCAACCGACCCGAACCTAACCAGACTTTTTGAGATAAAATCTAAACCTCATCTGACCCAACCCAAAATAATAAAAAATATTTTTTTATTCATTAAAAATAGTGATTTAATTGAAAAAAATAATATATAGAGGGGTATTATTGTAATTATTTCTAAATATATAAGGTAAAAATATATATTTTTTTATCGGATCGGGTCGGGTATTTTTCAACTTAAACCCGAATCCGACCCGACCCGAACATCACCTTCAAAAAAACCTGACACTACTCGAACCCGAACTTTTTTAAAAAAATTTGACCCGATCGGGTCGGGTCCGGTCGAAACCTATCGGGTTCAAGTCTCATGCCCATCCCTAGATCCACCAGGGAAAAAATACTATGGATGCAAGATATAGAAGGGGAGTGAATTTTGTTTTACCATTTTTTTCATTTGTGAATTGTTAATGAACCCACTTCATTCGTTAACTCTATGTGATCTAATCTTTCCATCAAGCATGTCTTTCATTATATTATAAGGTAGGGGCCTATGAATCTAGTATCTGTTTTTTTATTCAGTGATTATTCCTTGAATCTAAAAAGAATACAGAAATAAAAATAAGAATCCACTTTGAATTCGAATGTTCGAATGAATATCTATATTATTGTTATATTTATATTGTTATTATTTACGTTATCTCAATTGATCAAATTCGAAGCAATTGCCCTCTTTTGATAAATGCCCAAACAAACCGCCTCAAATAATAAAGATTGTTATATTCAGATTTTGAGACGAGAGCGCCCTAGCTATATTCTGTATATAACGTATCAACTCCAAATATTGAAAATAAAAAGCGAAAGTCCTTTTTTTCGAAATACTTTGATATATAAGGATATATGAGATAAATCCATTATTTTGATTTCTTGCTTTTTTGTTGTTGTTGAAATAAGTTGAGTGGTTTTACCGACTCATTAAAAATAATTTTTGTGGAAAAAATAAATTAGAAATAAGAATGTTATTGCAATGGAGCATAAATGTCTTAAGAATAAGCATGGAGAAATGAGCAATATTAGGGGTTTTGGAGAAAAAAACATTTAAAAAATGGGTGAACTGAAATGTTGTCCCAAAGCTAATTTGAATTTACAAAAGAGACATAATCAGTATTTTGTCTAAAGTTTAGGAGTTAAAATAAAAATTAAAACATTTTACTAATAGGTCACGTCATCAAACTAACGATATTCAACGTCTAAGTGATCAAAACTTAATAAAACAATAACGTAATTGACCAAAACTTAATAAAAACAATAATGTAAGTGACTAAAACTTATGTTTTTTAAATTTGGTGAGCAGAAGTGTACAAATATGAAAGGAAAGTGACCAAAACTTTTATCCACGTATTATCTACATGGAAATAATGTAATTTTAATTTTATATATTCACGTGTCACGTCAGCAAACCATTAAAGGTTTAACGGATGTTATCTTTCAGTGACCACATCTTAATTAATACGAAACGAAAGTGGTCAAATATTATATTTTTTAAATTCAGTGAGACAATTTATAAAATTCAAACAAAAGTGGCCAATTTTGTAGTTTACCCTATTTTTTTATGTGTAAGTAAGATTTGTGATGTTATTTAATAAATTAAATAACTTCTAAAATTATATAATATGTTTATAATATTATAATTTAAAGAATAATATATTGATGGGAGTATAAATGAGACAAAAAATTGTGGGGAGAAAGAATTTATAAAGAGTTGCAATTGAATGACCAGAGAAAATAAAATGTAAAGTTGAGATAAAATTATTAAAAAAAATAAATTAAAATTATATAGGTATTCTACTGTGGTGGAGGATCATATAAAATAAACTTAAAACAACGAAGGAATTGAAATAAAAAGAAAAACATCCAATATTGAAGAATTAAATTGCAAAAAGATGAATTGAAACTATATATATATATATATATATATATATATATATATATATATATAATATTTATTTAAAAATAATTCTCAATTATTTAATATTAAACATTTACACCTCTTACAATCTTGATACTCGAATGTAAGACCTCACAAAATAATAACAATTTTCTTATCACCTAAATCACTTGAGTTGTGATATATATATGTTTTGTTACTTTTGATAAAATTAAATGGATGGTCAATTCAATATATATATATATATATTTTAATATCGTATTTTCTCATCATAATTTTCAGCTCTCATACTGTCACAAACTGCTCTCTATTACATGCCAACTACATTTCCTTTAATTTTCTTCAGATTATTTCATTTCCTTAAAATTCTTTTCTAAGAAAATGACTTTTGGGACTTTTAGTTTGTTTTTAAGCTAGCACAAGAGAGAAGAAAAAAACGGAAGGAATTCATAAATCATAACCAACCAACCCGACAAGACGGCCGAAGGCCAAATATCACGCAGTTGAAGAATATTTCATAGCAAGATCCGTTGTATAGGTCCAAAACACCGGGAGGCTTCGTTGAACGTAAAACATAGGCCACAAGAAGTAAATGCCTCCTTTAATGCATTCTTCATGATACACCATCGACAAGATCTCTTTGCAGCATTTGTTTCCTTTTTGTTTTCCTGAATTTTACCTATATCAAGAATGTCTGTTACTTAGATTCCTTTTCTGGGTTTTTTTCTTTGGTTGTTATTCTTATTTGAACAGAGCGAAAAGCTTCTGCCCTATTTGTTTAACTATTTGGCATCTTTTAGAAAGAAAAATGGGTATACTGAGCACTATATTGGGTATTTTCGGCTTCGGAATTGGGACTCCAATTGGTTTGATCATTGGCTATTTCGTATTCATATACGTTCTGCCTACTGATGTTGAGGTCTGGTTCTTTCTCTGTTGAATTCTCGTTATGTTTTGCTTTTGTTATTTTTGGTGCAGAATTTTGATATATTCCATAAGCAGCTTTGAATTTTTTCCTTTTATTAGTTTAAAATGAATAAAAATGAAAACTCTGTTCTAAGCGATCAACTGTTTATTTATTTTGGTCTGATAAAATATATGGCATCCGATTTCTGTTTAATCCAGGTGTTGTCTTGAGCCTATTTTGGTTTATGGATTCATCTCCAGTTTCAATATGAAAAGATTTATACAGCATTGGATTTTAATTTGCAAGCAAAACATCATAAATTGCCTCAAATGTCATGACTCGTGATTCAGCCTTTTTTTGGTTGCATTCTTGCTTTCTTTCTTTCTTTTTTGGTTGTTAACATGTGTGTTTTAGGATATAAAAGTTCATCCTTTGGTCGAGGATGACACAGAGACTATGCAGCGGTTGCTTCCAGAGATCCCTCTGTGGGTCAAAAATCCAGATTTCGACCGAGTATGTTTTTCTTTTTCTTGGGGTTTCTCTGATGTTTTGTCTCAACTGGATTAACTTACTGAACAAGGTAATAACTGTTTTTTCTCTGAAGGTTGACTGGCTTAACAAATTTCTTGAGTGCATGTGGCCTTATATGGACAAGGTATGTGTAGCTGCAATGATCTTTGATCTGTTATATTTTGTTTGGCCCCCTTTTTTCTAATTTCCCTGCTGAGTTTTGACACCTAAAGTTGTCTAGGCAATTTGTGCAACCGCCAAGAGTATAGCGAAGCCCATTATTGATGAGCAAACTCCACAATACAAAATTGATTCAGTTGAATTTGAAACTCTCACTCTTGGCACCGTACCACCAAATTTTCAAGGTTGACTCCTCTTCCTCTATTAGATAATCCTAAACATTTACACACATAAGCTGAACCACATGTGGCATATCAAATATGTTCCCCTTAAATGATCACTTTATTAGACTTCTTTTCTGCATTCAAAGGAGAGATATTTATCCAAGTCATCATATATATTGAAAAGAAGGCATCATATAAGTTGATAATGAGGTGCTGAGTTTATGTATGTATATGAATAACCTTTGCATTTCATTTGTGATAAACAGGTAATGGGTTAGAACAATGGCCTTTTGTAGTATAATAATTCAAGAAAAGTACTGAAAAGCTTTCACCTGGAACAGTACATGGTTGCTTATTGTCATTTAAAGGGAAATGGGTTACAACAATGACCTTTTGTAGTATGCACATGGTGGTTATGATGTCGTTGGGTTATATGCACAAAATGTGTTCTATTTTTTTCTTTTCCCTTGTTATTGCACAATTTTTCACAGAGTGATAGTTGTCGTTGATTTAATCATATGCCAGGAATGAAAGTCTATGTTACTGACGACAAGGAACTTATAATGGAACCATCAATTAAGTGGGCAGCGAATCCTAACATCACAATCGCTGTTAAAGCTTATGGATTAAAAGCCACTGTTCAGGTATTTGCAAGTGTACTGGTGGCATGAAGAGGCATACGAGAAATGTGTATAGACTCTGTATATCTGCCTGTGCCTCTATCATGAACAAATATCAGTGTGCACACATATGAAACAAAATGATTTAGCAAGAGCTAGAAAGAGAACCTTTGTATGTCTCCAGTGGGGACTGTCTGGTGTTTTATAGGATGTTCCTGAATTTTTAGAGGACAGTCTTTTCTGATGTAATGCAAAGGTTTGTTGTTGTATTTATGATATATCAATAAAATGAGGTACTCTTTTCCTCCTTCCGCTATTTGTTCCTTTCCTTTTGGAAAGGGTTAATTATGAAGGGGTTTTTTAATGAGACCTCCTACTTTTATCAAAAAAATTTGTCTCCAGTGGGGACTATTGATATTTTTAATGTTTCAGGTTGTTGATTTGCAAGTATTTGCTCTTCCTCGAATCACTCTGAAGCCGTTGGTCAGTGTCATTCCTTGTTTCGCCAATATATTTGTCTCCCTAATGAACAAGGTACGTTGTATTTAACAAGCCATATGTCATATATGATTATTTATTCAGTAATTAGGTTTATGCTGCATTGTAGCTTCTCATGGACAATATTATGGACATGATGTCAATTTTATCTCTAAGCATTGTTCTGTTTAGAAAAGCCATAAGTGTCTATAGAAGGATCTTACTCTCTTGCCTCTTTTTTTCCCTTCCCTTTTCTCTTGATCATCTATTCTTTATTTTGTAGCCTCATGTTGACTTTGGGCTGAAGTTACTTGGGGCAGATCTTATGGCCATTCCTGGATTATACATGTTTGTCCAGGTAATACTTTTTATTTCTTGTATCTCCTCGTGATAGAACAAGTTTTTGTGACGAAGAACACTGTTATTAAGCTCATGGATGATGGTTCGCCTCTCCACCTTTTTTATTTACAGTACACTGCTAATCTATAAGATAGACAATGTCATCACCCCCTTTATTTTCGAGGAATCAAGTTTGAGATCTCCCAATACACCCTCAAACTCCTCTTTGCATAGTAAGGACTTTTTTTCTTCATACAGGAGCTCATAAAAGATCAAGTTGCAAATATGTATCTGTGGCCCCAAACCTTAGAAGTGCAAATAATGGATCCTGCAATGTAAGTGTGCATATCCCGGGCTTTCAAGTTGTTACAGATGAGATTCTATTTCTTACTGGCTAAATTTCCTCTAATTTGCAGAGCTGTGAAGAGACCTTTAGGAATTCTTGATGTTAAAGTTCTGAAGGCAATGAAGCTTCAGAAGAAAGATTTCCTCGGCAAATCGGATCCTTATGTGAAACTAAATTTAATGGATGAAAAACTAGCGGTGAAGAAAACTACTGTGAAATGCTCCAACTTGAACCCTGAATGGGATGAGGAATTTAGTTTTGTTATTAAAAATCCATATGCTCAAACTTTGGAGTTAAAAGTCTATGACTGGGACCAGGTATGATTCATTTTATCTGTTTTCTAGATTAATTGTAGGTTCTGAGGTTGTTCCTAATGTGACCATCTTAACCAATTTATTTGGCGTTGCGGTGTGCATATAATGGGATGTGTCACTGTTCTTTCTGTCCTTGTTGGAAAACTTTACTTTGTTAGGATCTAAGCATTCCATGCCTGCCTGTGCATGTTCCTCATGTATTCCAGTATTTCTCAAGCTGTATGTTAACTAATTCAGGTTGGCACACATGAAGAGATGGGCATGAATATTGTTCCATTGAAAGATCTTACACCTGATGAGCCAAAAGTTCTAACTCTTGATCTGAAGAAAAATATGAACACGGATGATCCACAAAACAACAAGTCACGGGGGCAGCTTGTTATCGAAGTCATGTACAAACCTTTCAAGGAGGATGAGATGTTAGATGACACTGAGGAAGCAGATATGATAGAAAAAGCCCCAGATGGAACACCAAAAGGTGGAGGTTTGCTTGTAGTTATTGTGCATGAAGCTGAAGATCTCGAAGGAAAGTACCACACAAATCCACATGTGCGTTTGTTGTTCAAAGGGGAGGAGAGAAAAACAAAGGTATGTTCCATAAACCTATGCTGTAAATTCTAAATAGTTTGTTGAAGCATGGTTTCACTTGGAAGAAATAATGGTGTGCAACTATGGTGCCAAACTTCCAATGCATCTAACTTTTTTAACTGAATTTCCATTAAGTTGTTGATGCAACCATTTAAAATCTGGAAATATTCGATAAATCATGCTCGCTCGCATGTACTAATTATAAGCACTCCCAGTTGATTGATAAATTGGTGCTGTAGTGCTACGCCTTTTACTTTTGCTTATATGAGCTTTGTGTTCTTGTTATTTGTCTTACTTTTTGGTTCCCCATACGGAATTGACAATCATGTTTGCATTGATACAGCGTACAAGGAAAAACAGAGATCCAAGATGGGATGAGGAATTTCAGTTTACTTTGGATGAACCTCCCGCAAATGAGAAACTTCACGTGGAAATCTTCAGTACATCCTCCAGGATAGGATTACTGCATTCCAAGGTTCACTTTTCGTTATCTTTGCATGATAGGATCCTTTTTCTTCTTTAAATCCTTTTTCTGAACTCAATAGTCACACTAGATGACAACGTTGAACTTTCATCGTTTTCTTCTTTCATTTTCCTTTTATGTATCGAAATGACTGTACCTTTTCACATGATTTGCCAGGAATCTTTGGGGCATGTTACTATAAGCCTAGCTGATGTTGTTAATAACAGAAGAATCAATGAGAGGTATCATCTCATTGACTCAAAGAATGGTCGGATTCAAATTGAATTGCAGTGGAGAACTTCTTAAGTATGTCACAGTTTGCTTTTTCGTTTTTGGAAAGTTTGTAAGAGATTTTAGTCCAGTTGTTCTCTGTTGCTAGCAATTTATATATCATTGCCACTTTGTTTTACCCTTCTCTTCTACGTTTTATCAAAGGCTTCTCGTCACTCTTTTTTAAATTCATGCTTAATGTCAGTAAATAATTTTCGTTGCAAATCTCTAACCTGTTCAACAACTCTATTATGCATATATACACACACACGTAGACCGGGACAGACACAAGATTTTATGTTAGAAGAGTAAATTTATAAAATTTTAAGAGACAAAAACAGATTATAAATAGAAATTATTAAAAATTAATACTAAAATTATATTAGAATTTAAAAATTTTAAGAAACAATTGTGTCGGTAACCATCATATGAGTTATGACAGCCCTTATCTTAAATCCTGCGGGCTGTAAGTATGACCTTTGTCTAATACTGCATTCTCTTCGATTAATGAAAAATATTCTTCATTTGCGGTATCGTTGAAGAATTATGGAACTATATTATGTTGAAATGACTGCAAGCCAATCATCTACCGATGCTCAATCCCAATCTTGTTGAAGAAAAAACAAGCCATTAACTTCGCTTTAGTTAAAACAGGTAAAAGTAGGCATAATTACATTTCTTTATAGCTTGAATTTTCTGGCGGAGATGCTTCAAAGCTGTCGATTTCTTTTCATAATGGCTTAATATAGGGCATGGGGGTTTCAGGTTTGGGCACGTAAGAAAAAGCTTGAGGAACCTCGGCTCTTTTCCCGCCTTTTTTTGGGGTCAAATAGGCTAACATAGATTTCATTTGGATCATGTAGACAAAGTTTCAGAATTACAAACTCTGAGATTATATACACCATTTATTATTCAAGGAAAGTGGAATGTGGGAGCTCAGTGTCTCCTTTAAAGCACTGCAAGTGGTAATCGTTCATTTTGTTTCTTCCAATTCCAATATATTTTAAGGGTATATTTTTGGATGGATTCTCCATTTCACCATGCACGAATGGAGAACGAGGGCTATTCAAATTTTCTAAAAAAAAATATGGCCAAACCTAAATACCCAAATAGGTTTTGTTTGCTCTAAAAGTTGGTATCTTTATTCCCTAAAACACTCCCTTAATATTCTTAGCAGACAATTCTCCACTAACACCCCATATTTTTACAAAACAGCATATGAATTTATGCTGCTGCTATTATAGTGGATCTAAATAAACCGAATAAATGCTTCTCTTCATTAACACAGCTCGTGTAGTAATCTACAAGGAAACATTTTTTTTTCTCAAATGGCTTCTTTCCCCCAGAATAAAGATAGCCAACAAAAAAAGTCACTTTAAGCCAAGATTTTAATATATACTACAAAATATATTAAATAATAATAATAATATATACTACAAAGTCCACGATTTGATTTCGAATAACATTTTCAATATTGTCGATACCTCCAACTGGCTGAGATAAAAATATAAACGTTTGACCAAGATGATCAAGAGTTTCCACCATTGATCCTGTAACAGGTAAACAAAAGAGGTCATGTAAGGAACCATCACTGGAGTCTGGACGATCCAGATTAGAGAAAACAACAAACCGGGGTCAGTGGGGAAAGGGTACTCTTTCTTCTGGAAAGGGCATAAGCAGACTTTACTCAGGGCCCAGAAAAGCCCTTCTCCGGTCTTCTTTTGAGTCTCCCAAAAGGATAGGATCAACATTGATATTTGATGATCCCTAAAGCTGAAAGAGTAAAAATCATGATTAAATGAGGTTGGTTTCATGATTTGATCCAAGGAAATGACAAGGTTTCTCTATAAGCTAATAAAATTAACGTCAGTTTTGACTTATACAGTGTTGTAATAAAAAGTAAGACTCCGGTATCAGAATCGTTGTTAAGGCACCATCGTGAAATATTGTAATGTGCGGTGGGAACCTGGAGCATACTAAATTGAAGGGTGTTACGGGTTCCATGCAATCCATACTCTCTCTCTCTCTCTCTCTCGTAGACTTTTCAGATTTTGTATTTGTTTATCTAAATTCGATACGTTGGGGTCTACGATTCTCTTTACTAAGCACTGCACAACTCTACTACTTAACGTAGCATCTCAGGATTGAGTTGCACTGCATAGAGTTAACGCTACATTCATTTCTCTCTCTCTCTCTCAGCGAGGAGACGAACAGTCGAATATCGAGACATGAGAAGCTTTTACAGTGTTTTTCTCCTCTATTTTTCTATGAATCTTCTACTATTTTCTACTAGCATCAATGGTTACAGTGATGTTGAAGTTCTGTTGAAGCTCAAGTCTTCCATGATTGGACACAAAGGTTCAGGTCTCCACGACTGGGGATCCTCATCATCTCCATCTGCCCATTGCCATTTCTCTGGCGTTGAATGCGACCAGGATTTGCGTGTTGTTGCTCTCAATGTGTCCTTTGCTCCTCTCTTTGGCACCATTCCTCCGGAGATAGGGCTCTTGAACAAGCTCGTAAACCTCACAATATCAATGGTTAATCTTACAGGATATATTCCGGTGGAGATGGGAAACTTGACTTGTCTCAAGGTATTAAACATCTCCAACAATGTTCTCGGAGGCAATTTCCCTGGTGAAATACTTACTGGTATGACACAGCTTGAGATTCTTGATGTTTACAACAATAACTTCACGGGTCGTCTTCCAGTTGAGGTGGCGAACCTGAAAAATCTAAAGCATCTATCTCTTGGAGGCAACTATTTCACGGGAGAGATACCGGAGAAGTACGGTGACATCCGGAGCTTGGAATACCTGGGTCTAAACGCCAACGGTTTTAAGGGTAAAATCCCTGCAGCTTTAGGTCGTTTAAAGAACCTGAAACTCTTGTATCTTGGATATTACAACACCTACGATGGAGGAATTCCTCCTGAGTTTGGCTTATTGAGTCAACTCCAATTGCTCGACATGGTAGGCTGCAACCTCACCGGCGAGATTCCTGCGAGTTTGGGCAATTTGAAGCACTTGCACACAATTTTCCTTCAGCGGAACAATCTTACTGGCCGTATACCTCCTCAACTCTCTGGTTTAATCAGCTTGAAATCGCTTGATCTTTGCAATAACGGGTTATCAGGGGAGATACCCGAGAGTTTCTCTGCCTTACAAAACATTACACTTCTCAACTTGTTCAGAAACAATCTCTACGGTCCAATCCCGTCATTCGTTGGTGATTTTCCCCACCTCGAAGTGCTTCAACTCTGGGGAAACAACTTCACTCTTAAATTACCGGAAAATCTTGGCCGTAATGGGAAGCTTTTGATGCTGGACGTTGCTTCAAATCACCTCACTGGGATGATTCCACGGGATTTGTGCAAGGGAGGGAGGCTGAAGTTGTTAGTTCTGATGAAAAATTTCTTCTATGGTCCACTCCCTGAAGAACTTGGTAATTGCAAGTCTCTTATCAATATTCGTATCAAGAACAACGAGCTTAATGGAACAATTCCAGCTGGGATTTTCAACTTGCCCTTGCTGATTATGTTCGAGTCTGACAACAATTACTTCTCCGGAGAACTTCCATCCCAGATGTCTGGTGCTTCGTTAGCTCAGTTAAAAGTTTCAAACAATAGGATCACTGGTAGAATCCCTCCAGCGATTGGCAATTTGGGCTCTTTACACATTTTATCTCTTGGAATGAACAGATTTACCGGTGAAATTCCTGGGCAAATCTTTAATATCAACTCGCTTTCAACGATGGACATCAGTCACAACAATATTATTGGTCGAATCCCTCCTTCAATCACCCGGTGTGTTTCATTTACTTCAATTGATTTCAGTCAGAATAATCTCACCGGTGAAATTCCAAAAGGAATTAACAATTTGATGGATTTGGGCTTTCTCAATTTGTCTCGAAACCAGCTAACCGGTGAAATCCCTGGTGAAATCCAATACATGACGAGTCTCACAACTCTTGATCTCTCTTTTAATAATTTCAGTGGCAGCATCCCCACCGGTGGCCAATTTTTAGCCTTCAACGGCAGCTCGTTTACCGGAAACCCCAATCTATGCCTACCGCACCAGGTTACTTGTCCATCTTTGGTGAACCAAGCTGAAGGTTCCGGTCACGGGCATGCAGCATCTTTCACTGCTACAAAGCTTGTTATCACCATCCTTACGCTGATCACAGCTTTGCTGATGATGGTCGCCACAGTGTACAGATTGAGGAAGAAGAGACTCGAGAAATCACGAGCATGGAAGCTCACTGCTTTCCAAAAACTAGATTTCAAAGCCGATGATGTGCTGGATTGCTTGCAAGAAGAGAACATTATAGGGAAAGGTGGAGCTGGAATTGTCTATCGCGGTTCCATGCCGGACGGTCTTGAAGTCGCAATTAAAAGATTAGTGGGTCGTGGAACCGGAAGAAGCGACCACGGGTTCTCGGCGGAGATTCAAACCCTGGGTCGGATCAGGCACCGGAATATCGTAAGACTGTTGGGTTACGTATCGAACAAGGACACCAATCTGTTGTTGTACGAGTACATGCCTAATGGGAGCTTAGGAGAAATGTTGCACGGTTCAAAGGGTGCTCATCTGCAATGGGAGAGGAGGTATAGCATTGCTGTGGAGGCTGCCAGGGGACTCTGTTATCTTCACCATGACTGCTCGCCTCTGATTATACACAGGGATGTCAAGTCCAACAATATTTTACTTGATGAAAATTATGAAGCTCATGTTGCTGATTTCGGGTTGGCTAAGTTTTTGCAAGATGCGGGTGCCTCGGAATGCATGTCTGCCATTGCTGGTTCCTACGGCTACATTGCGCCAGGTTTGAATTCACCCATTTTTTTAACATAATCTTCTGGATACTTTGTTTCAGCTCTTTGACTTGATATGAAATATGCAAACAGAGTATGCCTACACGTTGAAGGTGGACGAGAAAAGCGACGTGTACAGTTTTGGTGTTGTGCTGTTGGAGCTTATAGCAGGAAGAAAACCTGTAGGGGAATTTGGAGATGGGGTGGACATTGTGAGGTGGGTAAGGAAGACAATATCAGAACACCCTCAGCCGTCCGATCCTGCTTCAGTGCTGGCAATCGTGGACCCCAGGTTGAAAGAGTATCCATCGGCGGCTGTCATCCATCTGTTCAAAGTAGCTACGAAGTGTGTTGAAGATCAGAGCTCCGACAGGCCTACCATGAGAGAAGTTGTTCACATGCTCACCGATCCTCCACAGTCCACACCAAGCCCATGCCTCATCACCTTTTGATGCTCATCAGCTGCTGCCCATTGTAGTAAAAATTAAAAAAAATAAAAACTTTAGGAAACTGTAATAATTTTCTAACCATGTAAGGTTTTGGGTATTCGAAATATGTCGCACTAATTTCCATGATGGGGGATAATTGTATGTGAGTTTGTTTTAGTTTTCTTATATTTGTATTTGCACCACTATTACATATTTTTATATACCATGTACTAGTTTGAGGTTTGACCATAACTGTTTTAACTTTTAAATTTCTTTATTTAAGCTCCTTCTTTTAGGAGTGATAAAAATTCGACTCGACTCGAAAAATTGATTTTTTTCGACTCCAATTAATTTCAAGTTATAATTTCATAAACTCGATGCGAAAAAATTTTAAGTTCAATTCAAGTTGCAAAATATAACTTGAAATATTTAGTAATTTGTATATTGATTTTTAAGTTTTATTCGAGTATCTCGACTTTGTATGTTATATGTAAATCTCATATGAAAAAAATAAGAATACATATATATATGTATTGTATATTGTTACAAAATATCATTCAAATTTGAATTAAATAATGTCATAATATTGTAAATATTTATAATTAAATTTAAATAGAAACTCAAAAATTTGACTCGATTTGACTCGTCTTGAAAAAAATTTCAAGTCAATTACGAGTTATAAAATAAGACTCGTCAACTCGAATAACTTAAAACTTTTTGACTCGACCGAACACTCACCACTACTTTCTTTAGTAGCTTCACATATTCTTAGGTAATCATCAGTTTTTGGTTGAATTGAGATTCTATCATTCCATCAATCACTAGATTCAACTTAAATTTAGGGACACTCTATTCAAACTAAAATTCGATCTAATTCTTAGGGTGAAATAATAGAATCGATAAAATATAAAAATATATATAATTTATATTTATTAGATAAAGTATAGATCTAATTGAAATATATATATAGAGATATGATTATGATTATCTACAAGGATAATAATATTATTTTCTCATGTTGTTTACAAATCGAATCAAATATTTTTTTTATCTTAAACTCGAATTTGATCGACCTTTTTAAAAAAACTCTGACCCAAATCTAATAGAAACGATTCAACCCTATAAGATCAAATCAGATCAAAACCTGTAAAATCTAGTTCTTATATATATTCCTACATACTCGTTACAAACCTTCTCATAAAGAATAAGTGAGCAAGTTTCATTTAAATTCAACCTCAATCCTAACTTCCTTGAAAACGTTATGATTTATTATATTTATCAAGTTTAAATTTATCCTAAAGTCATAATCATATCCACTCCAACTTCGATGAGTTTAGGCCCATTGTTGGTTGTTTGAAAAGGGAAAGTAGTGTACTGGACGCCGCCTTCCTTCCAATATAGTTTTAACTATTGGGCCAATGGGCCATCTTTCAACTTCATTCTTTAACTATATATGTCCTCTCTTGATTTCCCAAAAATTTAAATCATATTCTCCGCCATTTGAATTTCAACCGAGTGCAGTGAGAAATGCAATGGAGACCAATACCGCCACACCAAGTTATTCATTGATCACCGTCCGTCGAAACCCACACCGTAAGGCCAGGTCTACCTCCTTATTCAATGCATCTCGACTTCCGCTTCAGTCCACTTCATCCTCTGAATTGCCTAAAATTTCTTCGTTTCCAATCCAAGATGTTCTCTCAGAAAAAATCCGGCAAAATTCCCCCACCATCACTGCCGCCTCGCCCTCGACATCACCTCCGCAAGATTCAGTCCTAGAAAACCTCAAAGTCTTTTTGAGAATCCGTCCTCTTGTGCCACTTAAAGGCTCAAAAAATAACGCAGGAGATCAACATGCTAGGTCGAGGACGAAAAACGTTTGGCCTCAAAATCCATCAAAAAAGAATAGCGTCAAAGAGAAGACAAATCCACTGATGAAAAGTACAGTTGTATTTCGGTGAGCCAGGATTTTTGTTCGGTTACTTTGTCACCTCCTTTGCATCTACAAGAAACTAAACGCGTCAAATCGGAGATTTATGAAGGGTTTTCTTATGTGTTTTCAGATGAGTCGACTCAGGTATGTGTTTTTTTTGACATAGCTTTGTTAATACTATGAATTTTATTCTGACGATTTGACTGGCAACTTTTTGTAGTCTGAAGTATACGAAAAGATGGTGAATCCGTTGGTTGAGAATTTCCTCAACGGTAAAAGTGGAATGTTGGCGGCATTGGGGTCGACAGGCTCCGGCAAGACACATACAATTTTTGGAAGTTCCCGTGAACCTGGTATGGTTCCTCTAACACTCAAACGGATTTTCAAGTCCGCTCAAGGGTGTGCCTTCCAGTCCTCAAGGTAATCCAGGATCTCACAACTTATAAAAGGATTTCTATATATATTATGTCTATATATATTAAACATGCAACATTGAATTATGCGGGTTTTTTTTTATCTGTATAATAACCGTGCAGGCAATTTTACTTATCTATTTTCGAAATATGTGCTGAGCGAGGAAAAGCGGAGAGGATATGCGATTTAACTTCTGATAGACCAGATCTGTCTATGCAGCAATCAACCATTAAAGGGCTCCAGGAGGTTTTCTCCCTTTTCCCCTTTATATATTTATGGCGGGAAGATAGTATTATGATGTTTCCTTTATTCATGCAAACAGGTTCTAGTCCATGATGTTGCTGAGGCAGAGTTGTTGATAGCTCGTGCTCTTCTGAGACGTTCTACGGCTATGACAAATGCCAACAGCCAGTCAAGGTGAATGGCTAATTATACTATCATTTTATTAAACGACTGTATCGCATTTAAACATATCATAATGCAACTTTACTAATTCGATTACTGGTCGGCATCATTGCAGCCGTTCCCAGTGCATCATCAACATTAGGGGAGGTACTGAAATGTCTGATCCAGAAAATGATAAACAATCAAATTCTGCTGTATTATCCATAGTTGACCTTGCTGGAGCAGAAAGAGAAAAGAACTGGAAATCAGGTATTACTTATTTTCTGATTAAAGATGTGGTTATTACTTAACTACCTTTTCAGGTAGAAATTTGTATGAAAAACAAACAATGTGTCGTGTGATAAAATGCAAACATGCTGGCAAACATTCGATTGCTCGACAAATAGTTTATATGCGTAATAGTTGTATATGTAAATGCCCATAGATACATGTCATAATGCTATTTAAACCTAGGATAGGCCTCTAAATTTTTGTTAGCCAATAGCAATAAAACTTTGTGAAATTTCTAATTTAACTAAATGTTTCAGCGGAAGTTTTAACGTGACTAAATGCAGAACTCTTGGATGGGACATTAAGAAAGTTTTGCATCTCAAATGTTTTAAAAATTTCATAGAACTGTTTTTGTACTTGCATCATGTTATTGGTTCCTGTATAATAATGCTAAAAGGTAACAATTTCATTTCAACTTTTATCTAATGTATTAGACAAAACTGGATTCGGAGTCTTCTACTGTCAAAACTGGTTTTTCTCTCGATTGATTATATTTTTTTTACGTAGAAAAATACAAAATTTAAATATACACATTGTTTCCTTATCTTAGGAAACAACTAAATTAGGTAATGTTGAAAATCCTTAAATTAAGAAGATTCTCTACCTTAGTTCTAGGAATTTCCTTGTAAATATTAGTCATGTTCTAATTACTGATTTTTAGGGATAGGCTTATTATTAGAGATTATTTCCTTGTAAATATTAGAGATTATTTTCTTTTTTATTTTTTCTGCTATGTTAAAAAGGGTGTACTCCTATTCGAAGAAATAAGAGACTTTTCTTCTTCCTAAATTTGTTCATGGCATCGAGAGTCATAGGATTCATTCGATCCTACTCATTTGTCTCTCATCTCTCTTCCTAAACATTTTTTTCTTTTTTTCTTCTCTCATGGGTGATATCAATGAAACCCTCTCTAATTTCGGTTCAAATAGACCATGGTGTAGCCACTGTAACCGGGTTGGACATACCAAGGAGAAATGCTTTAAACTCCATGGTTATCCTGAAAAAAATCATAAAGAAAACAAGCAGCAATGATATCTACTACTGAAGAAGATGCCCAGGATGTTCGGCTCACCAAAACTCAACTTGAGGCTCTTCATAAACTCCTCGGGACTCCTACAACCATTGGATCACTAGCTATTCAAGGTACTGCCTTAAATACTACACATGAACCAATCTGGATACTAGATTCGGGTGCATCCAACCACATGACAGGTAATATAAGTTTGTTTCACACATATTTACCTTGTCATGATCACTCCCAGATTCGCATAGCTGATGGATCTTACTCCCCGGTGGCTGGAATTGGAACGATCAGACCCACTGAAAATTTTTCCATAGATAAAGTTTTATATGTTCCAAATCTTTCTTGTAACTCTCAATTAGCAAGCTTACCAAGGATGAGAAAGTACTTGTTGAATTTTCTGCTTTCGGTTGTGTGGTTCAGGAATAAGAATCGGGGAAGATGATTGGTACCGCTAAAGTTGATGATGGCTTATATATTTGGAATAAAAACAGTTCACAAGAAGGGATGGCCTTATCTACATCGAAAGAAGAATCTATCATGCTATGGCACCGTAGACTAGGACACCCTAATTTTACGTACTTGAAAAAACTGTTTCCTCTACTATTTCTAAATAAGAAAATAAGTTCATTGAATTGTGAAGTTTGCCAACTGTCTAAACATACTCGTGTCCCTTATACTTTGAAACCTTATGTTCAATCTCAACCTTTCTCTTTAATCCACAGTGATCTATTGGGAGTCAGTCGAGTAAAAAATGTCACAGGGGCTAGGTGGTTCATAACATTCATTGATGACCATACTAGAGTTTGTTGGATCTATCTTCTCAAAGAAAAAACCGAAGTCTCTAGAGTCTTCCAAAGTTTTCATTCAATGATTCAAACTCAGTTCAATTCCAAAAATCATACCCTTAGAATTGATAATGGGAGAGAGTACTTCAATTCTATCCTAAGCCCTGATCTTTCTGAGCAAGGAATCATACATCAGAGTTCTTGTTCTGGCATCCCTCAACAAAACGGGGTTTCTGAGAGGAAAAACACACCTTTTAGCCGTGGCTCGTGCTCTTATGTTTACTATGGGTGTACCGAAGTATTTATGGGGAGAAGTTGTTCTCACTGCTTGTTATCTTATAAACCGACTCCCATCAAAGGTATTAAACTTTCAAACACCTTTACATACTCTTCAAAAAATATTTCCCTTGTTTCGTGTTCCTAATCTCCCAACCAAAACTTTCGGTTGCAAAGCATTTGTCCACAATCATCAACCTAACCGATCTAAACTTGATCTTAGAGCTCACACTTGTGTCTTTCTTGGATACTCACCTACACAAAAAGGGTACAAGTGTTATTCTCCAACCCTACACCGGATGTTTGTGTCCTTTGATGTTACTTTCTTCGAAAACGAGCCATATTTTTCAGCCTATCATCTTCAGGGGGAGATATTTAGTGAAGATGAGACATTGAACAACCTTCTCATTATACCTCAAGACTCTATCAATCCTACCACCACTACTGAAAATCCTACAGCCACTGCTGAAAGTCCTACAGCCATTGTAATTCCTGATTTGGACCCCGTTTTACTCGACTCTACTGTGCAACAACAAGAAACAAGGGCGATTAATCATACAAATGAAGAAAAACAACCCTCTCCTTCTGAAAAACAACAAGAAAAAACTCAGCAGCTTCGTGTATATTCTCGGAAACATCAGCTGCCAGAAACTGAAACAACAGTGCCAATGCCATCTTTACCTGAGGATTGTCCTGAGGAAGAAGTCTCACCTCCTTCGCCTTCCATCTATCTTCCAATTGCAATCAGAAAGGGCACGAGAAACTGCACTCAACATCCCATTTCTCGGTTTGTATCCTATGGGAACTTGTCTAAATCCTACAATGCCTTTATTTCTAATATTGACTCTGTAGAAACTCCAAAAAACATAGAAGATGCTCTTAAGTCAACCAAATGGAAGCAAGCCGTGTTGGAAGAAATAAAGGCTCTTGAAGACAATGAAACGTGGGAAATATCTAAACTACCTACTGGAAAGAAGACCGTGGGTTGTAAGTGGATTTTCACTACGAAAGTTAAACCAGATGGGAGCATTAATTGATACAAGGCTAGACTTGTGGCCAGGGGTTTCACTCAAACATATGGGTTGGACTACGAGGAAACATTTGCACCAGTGGCCAAACTAAATACTATTCGAGTGTTGTTCTCAATTGTTGTCAATTTAGATTGGCCTTTGATTCAATTGGATGTAAAGAATGCTTTTCTCAATGGAGAATTAAACGAAGAAGTCTACATGGATTTTCCGACCCGGATTCGAAAGAAACAAGGGCCAAGTATGCAAGTTGAAGAAGTCTTTGTATGAACTAAAGCAATCCCCCAGGGCTTGGTTTAATCGTTTTGCTAAAGCCATGACGAGTAGACAATATATTCAAGGTCAAGCTGATCACACCTTATTCTACAAACACTGGGCTAATGGGAAGTGTTGTATTCTTATTGTATACGTTGATGACATAATATTGACAGGAGATGACTCTATTGAAATTGAAAGACTAAAAGAATTCTTAAGTCTTGAGTTTCAACTTAAAGACTTGGTGAATCTTAGATATTTTCTTGGAATGGAGATAGCAAGGTCAAAGGCATGTATTTCAATCTCTCAAAGAAAGTATGTTCTTGATCTACTTTCTGAAGTCGGATTGTTGGGTTGCAAACCAACTGAGACTCCTATGGAACCCAACCTTAAATTAGGAACTGATAAAGATGGAGAAGAGGTAGACAGGGGGAGATATCAAAGGTTAGTGGGAAAACTTATCTATCTTTCTCATACTCGTCCAGACATAGCGTTTGGAGTAAGTGTTATTAGTCAATTTATGCATGCTCCTAGGGAGAAACATTTGGAAGCTGCCTACAGGATATTGAGATATTTAAAAGGGACTCCGGGTAAGGGGTTGCATTTCAAGAAAAATGTAAATCGAAGCATAGAAGTCTACACTGATGCAGACTAGGCAGGTGCTATTAATGACAGGCGCTCCATAAGTGGTTATTGTAGTTATATTTGGGGTAATCTCGTGACATGGAGGAGTAAAAAGCAGTCGGTTGTGGCACGCAACAGTGCTGAAGCTTAGTATCAAGCTCTGTCCCAAGGTATATGTGAAGGAATGTGGCTATAACGGCTAATGGGAGAACTAAAATATCCTATACAACACCTATAATACTGAACTGTAACAACCAGACATCAATTAATATAGCTCACAACCCTGTACACCATGACCGCACCAAGCATGTGGAAATCGATCGCCACTTCATTACAGAAAAAATTAACAAAAGGGAAATTTGTGTTTCATATCTACCTACTCGACAACAAGTAGCAGATGTGTTAACCAAGAGCTTGAGCAGAAAAAGGTTCGAAGAAATTATGGGCAAGCTAGGTTCGATTGACATCTACACTCCAGCTTGAGGGGGAGTGATGGAAATCCTTAAATTAAGGAGATTCTCTACCTTAGTTCTAGGAATTTCCTTGTAAATATTAGTCATGATCTAATTACTGATTTTTAGGGATAGGCTTATTATTAGAGATTATTTCCTTGAAAATATTAGAGATTATTTCCTTTTTTATTTTTTTTCTATGTTAAAAAGGGTGTACTCTTATTCGAAGAAATAAGAGACTTTTCTTCTTCCTAATTTGTTCAGGTAAGTAATTGATTCTAGGAGTAATTCTAATCCTTTAAAGTTAAGGATCCTAACTAGTAGAATATATTTACAAAGATCCTACATAATCTTTCTAATTTAGGAAGCTAATCTCTGACACTCCCCCTCAAGCTGGGGCATGGATGTCTTCCAACCTCGTCTTTCAACTTCTGAAAATTCTTACCAGGTAGACCCTTGGTAATTATATCTGCAACTTGATCTCCAGTGGTCACATAAGGAGTACAGATCATGCCACTTTCAAGTTTCTCCTTTATGAAAAGTTTGTCCACTTCAACATGTTTTGTTCTATCATGTTGAACTGGATTGTGAACAATATTAATTGCTGACTTGTTATCACAATATTTTCATTGGTCCGTCCCATTTGACGTTCAATCTTCTAAAATGATCTTCATCCATAGTAATTGACAAATTCCCAAAGTCATAGCTCAAAACTCAGCTTCTGCACTTGATCTAGCCACAACATTAAGCTTTTTGATCCTCCAAGTAACTAAATTTCCTTTAAAGAAAGTTCAGTACCCCGAGGTTGACCTTCTATCAACTATGGATCCAACATAATCTGCATCAGTGTATGCTTCTAGAGTTAAATTTTCCATTATTCTAAACAAAATTCCTTTGCCTGGTGTCCTTTTTAAGTACTGCAAAATTTGAGTCACAACCCTTAGATGTGATTCCTTAGGATTGTGCATGAATTGACTCACAACTCCAACAAAATATGTTATGTCTGGTCTAGTGTGTGACAAATAAATAAGCCTTCCCACAAGTCTTTGAAATGAACTTCTATCAACTGTTGCATCATCAATTTTTGAATCTCCAAGCTTATGATTGACCTCTATTGGTGTTTATGCTGGCTTACACCCTAGTTTTCCAGTCTCATTCACTAAGTCCAGAGCATACTTTTGCTGAGATATAAAAATCAACTGTTGTGAATGTAACACTTCAATTCCAAGGAAATATTTTAATCTTCCAAGTTTTGTAACTTCAAACTCCTTATCATACTGTTGATAAAGAGTAAACAACATAGTGGAGAAGAAAATGAACTCTTTTTATTATATATCGTGAATGGTGAAATACATCTTTTTATAGGAAAAGTTAGGAGTAAGTTTTCTATTAGAAGTAAACTACTTAGTAGTTATCTTTATCTATCTAACTTTCTAAGAGTTAGTGTTATATTAAAATACTAACTTATCTATTGCATAACCTACACTCCCCCTCAAGTTGGGGAGTAAATGTTGAAAAGACCCAACTTGGATATAATCTCATCAAAGGTAATTCTTGGAAGTGCTTTGGTGAGAATATATGCTAACTGATTCTTCGTTGAAACATAATTGAGCTTCACCGTTCCACCTTCACCTTTTTAGAGATGAAATGTCTGTCAATCTCCACATGCTTCGTTCGGTCATGAACTGGATTCTTTGCAATACTTATTGCAGATTTACTGTCACTTTGAAGTTCAAACCATTTGTAGGTACATAACCATAGCTCAGTTAACATTCTTTGAAGCAAAATTCCTTCGCAAATTCCAAGTGCCATTGCTCTAAATTCTGCTTCTGCACTACTTCGAGACACCACCGCCTATTTTTTGCTTCTCCAAGTAACCAGATTTCCCCAAACAAATGAACAATAACCAGTTGTAGATCTTCTATCCGTTAATTCACCTGCCCATCTTGAATCCAAAAAAATTCTTACTGTTCTATCTTCACTCTTTCTAAAAATTAATCCATGTCCTGGTGTCATTTTCAAGTATCTTAGAATTCTATTCACAGCCTCTAAATGTTCTTCACTTGGATCATTCATATATTGACTCACTATATTGGTAGGGAACGCAATATCAAATCTAGTAAGTGATAAATAAATTAGTTTACCTACTAGCCTTTGATATTGTTCTTTGTTCACAGAACTTCCCAATTCTTTTTTCCTTAGCTTCATATTTTCTTCCATGGCTGTTTCAGCCGTCTTACATCCCTTCATTTCAGTTTCTGATAGTAGATCAAGGATATATTTCCTTTGGTTGATCACTATTCCTTCTTTTGACCTTGCAACCTCTATGCCTAAAAAATACCGTAAAGTTCCCAAGTCTTTGGTTTCGAACTCCTTCGCCAGTAGCTTTTTCAATCTTTTTATCTCCTTACAATCATCACCTGTTAGAATGATATCATCCACATAGATAATCAAAATTGTCTTTTTGTTGTTTGAAGATGTTTTGACAAATAAAGTGTGATATGATTGACATTGCTTGTAATCATCATGAATAATCACCTTTGTAAATCTGTCAAACCAGGCTCTTGGAGATTGCTTAAGTCCATTCAAGGACTTTAGTAATCTACATGCTTTTCCTGTATTACTCTTCACACCCGGTGGAATTCGCATATATACTTCCTCCTCCAAGTTTCCATTTAGAAATGCGTTTTTGATGACTAACTGATGAAACACCCAATTCTCATTAACTGCTAATGACAGTAACACTCTCACAGTGTTTAGTTTTGCTACCAGAGCAAACGTTTCATGATAATCAACTCTAAAAGATTGAGTGAATCCTTTCGCCACTAATCTCGCCTTATATCTTTCAATGCTACCATCAGCTTTGTATTTTATCGTGAATACCCATTTGTAGCCGACTGGTTTTTTATCTTTCGGAAGATCAACTATAATCCAAGTATTGTTGTTTTCCAGTGCTTTTAATTCCTCTTCTACTGCCTTTTTCCACTTGGGATCTTTCAATGCTTCTTTCACCGTATTTGGAACAGTAATGTGTCACAGTCAGAAGAGATGAGAGTGGACGAGAAGAAGGAATTGGGGAAATCAGAAGTCAAGGGTTAGGGATTGAGGGAATTGAAAAGGGGATTTAGGGATTGAAATACGAGAAAGGGGCATGAGGTACTTACCCTCTGAATTGGAGTCACCCGTGTAACCGGTCCAGTCAGTGTTGGATAAGCCCAAGTCTCTAGCCCAGGACGAGTTGAAGCAGCACAGGTTATGTGGCCCAATATCCTGCAAGGAGAAAGAAGATAAGAATGAATTAGTCAGTTATAAGTTGTTAGAAGGAATGCCAGCTGGCATTGTTAGATTCCCTGTACCAGCTTGTAACTAAATAAATACCTGCTGTGTAATCAGGAATTTCCTTATGCAATGAATGAATGACTATTTTCTTCTCTAAATTCTCTCCTTCTTTTCTCGTATCTTTCTCTATTTCTCTCATTCCATAACAAATTGGTATTCAGAGCCATCATTTCCTGGCAAATTACAGACTGGGGATTTTGACAAGGAGGACGGAGGAGCAAGTCCAAAACAGCCCAGAAATTAAGCAGATGTTACATATGGCAATAGAAGATACAAATGATAGGTATCAAGTGCTTGATAAATTGTCAACAAGAGCATTTGATGCAATTCCATCCATTACTGGAACCATAAAAATTGATTCACGACTACAACAAAATGTTAGTCTGAGTGGGCTTAGCAAATTGATTTCGTGGAAAAATCTAGTGGACATCAAGGAACAAGAGCAAACCATTTCAGAGAATGCTCAAGTAAGTACTAACCTCCTTAAGACTGATGGAATAAAGATTTTGGAAAAATTGGGAAAGAAAACTGCCACTTATTATGACACAGGATGGAGAGCTAAGGATAAACTTGTTTCTATGGTCAATAAAGGAGTAAATCATGATGCAAAGATTGAAAAATCTGATGTTCCATATGTACCTTGAACTCATGAAGGTCTTTTGATGTGGAAATATGCTTCGATGAATTCGGATGATTTTTTAATTGAGAAGAATCTGAATACAACTAGGGTAGATTGTTGCATTGGAATTCATGTAGACTTCACTGATTTTCAAAGAAAGGTTGTCTTAGATACTGCTACAATTGCGGTGGCATGTGGAGTATGGCATACTTCTACAGTTGTTGAGGTTATTGTCACTCAATCTACTACTAGTGTTTCCTCAGGAAAATTATTCACATGGGGGGATGGGGACAAAAATCGTCTTGGACATGGAGACAAAGAAACACGGATTAAGCCCACGTGTGTTCTAGCATTAATTGATTACAATTTTCACAAAGTTGCTTATGGGCATGGCTTAACAGTTGGGTTGACAACATCAGGGGAATATGTTGAAGAAATGCCTGTGGTGCATATCACATCGCAGCTCTAACTTTCAGTGGCTTTAAAGATCTGTTTGACTGGCAGTACTTCATTAAACCCTGAAGGACGATGTCCATATAGTTGAGGCAATACCACCCGAGTATACTGGAATTGAGCCATTTAACAAAATGCATATATCCTGGTCTAAGGTTAGCTATTATAAGGCAGAGGTCCTACCATTGCTGAAGCAGCAAAAAGCAATCTATTTTACACACTGATTCTCGGCTTGCCAATAATGGTATCTCAAGTTCCATAAAAAAACTGAGGTGCTGGGTTAACTACAAGGCACTGAAAAATTCAGCTGCAAGTGAAGAACTTGGAATTACGTTGATTTCTAGAATGCGCCAAAATGGAAGCCCTTATCTTGCTCTACATTTGAGATACGAGATGGATATGCTTGCATTTACTGGCTGCAGTCATAGCTTGACAACAGAAGAAGATAATGAACTAAGTAGGATGCGTCATAAAGTCGGCCATTGGAAGGAGAATGAGATTAATGGTATAGAGAGAAGATTGCTCGATGACTGTTCACTGACCCCTAGGGAGACTTTTCTCTTGCTCAGAGTATTGGGTTTCCCACCAAGTACTCGGATTTACTTAGTAGATGGTGAAGCTTATGGAAATGGAAGTATGGAGCCTCTTAAGGAGGATTTCCCTAACATCTTTTCTCATTCCTCCTTGGCAACAGATGAGGAGTTGAATCCTTTCAAGAACCATCAGAACATGTTGGCCGGTTTAGACTCTGTTGTTGCCCTTCAGAGTGATGTAATTGTATATACTTATGACAGAAATATGGCAAAGGCAGTTCAAGGCCATAGGCGAATTGAGAACTTCAAGAAGACTATTTGCCCTGACATGATGAATTTTGTGAAACTTGTGGATTACTATGATGAAAGAGAATCTGGATTTTTCAGGGAGAGCGAAAATAGTACGAAATGCAGAAATTCTGCATCAGTAACTAATGGCGGTCAAGCTGAGGCTGACTGGATTGAAAAGGATGAGCCTGGAGTCTACATAACTCTTGTAGCACTGCAGGATGGAATTAGAGATCTTAAACGTATGCGGTTCAGCTGGAGAAGATTTGGAGAGCACCAAGCAGAATCTTGGTGGTCAGAAAACCGTGAGAAGGTTGTGGAGAGGTACTGGGATTGGGAGCTTACAAATGAAACTCAACCTATTTGGAATATGTTTACTAATCTAACGGAATATGTGGGGTATAAGTTTGGGTCTATTGAGGTTGGTTACAATGGAAACTTGGTGAACTACAAAGCTTTAGAAGACTATTGTTTCAGTTTCTATACTAGTCAGAATTTAATATTTTTGAGTGCTCTAAGCTTACAGCTGCCACTCCAAGAACCCTGCCGAGCTATTGGGAAGAGCGAAGTTTCACAACACACTAATGAGGTGTGGTATGAAGTGAAGGTAAATTCTGATAAACAACCTACTCTGCTATGGTGTTCAGAATTCACAATGCATATGGTCCCAGATATGTTGCAGAACATAATTAAACAACATACTGAAAAAAATCGAAGTGAACGACAGTTTCAAAGGGGAAAAGAAGAATACCTAAGATTGCGGCCCTACAGGCAGACATCCATTGTCCTGCAAAAAAATTTAAAGTTAGTAGCAATATACTACGGATCTTACAAAATTATTGCGAAAATTGGTGAGGTCGCGTATCGATTGGACTTACCAGATTTTTTCCGATTGCATCCAATTTTTCATGTGAGCATCCTGAAGATACACGTTAGTGACTCAACAGTCTCTTCAACGGACTCTCCTGCCATGGACGATGATGGTCAGATTCGATTAGAGCCGTATAAGGATATGGGAAGAAGAATAATGAATCGACAAAACAAACCTGTAACGCAGTTGTTGGTACACTGGACAGACCTCGATGACACCAGTGATACATGGGAAGACGATATTGTTCTTCGAGGCCAATTTCTAGGATTTGATCCTTGGGGACAAGGATCGATTCCAGCGGCGGGTATTGTCACAGTTAGAAGAGATGAGAGTGGACGAGAAGAAGGAATTGGGGAAATCAGAAGTCAAGGGTTAGGGATTGAGGGAATTGAAAAGGGGATTTAGGGATTGAAACACGAGAAAGGGGCATGAGGTACTTACCCTCTGAATTGGAGTCACCCGTGTAACCGGTCCAGTCAGTGTTGGATCAGCCCAAGTCTCTAGCCCAGGACGAGTTGAAGCAGCACAGGTTATGTGGCTCAATATCCTGCAAGGAGAAAGAAGATAAGAATGAATTAGTCAGTTATAAGTTGTTAGAAGGAATGCCAGCTGGCATTGTTAGATTCCTTGTACCAGCTTGTAACTAAATAAATACCTGCTGTGTAATCAGGAATTTCCTTATGCAATGAATGAATGACTATTTTCTTCTCTAAATTCTCTCCTTCTTTTCTCGTATCTTTCTCTATTTCTCTCATTCCATAACATAATGTTATCTACACTTACTGTAAAGTTCTTAAAACACGGCGTTAGCTTTCCATATGCAACAAATCTCTCAATTGGATAATTTCTGCATTTCTTACTCATTTCCTTTGAGCAATCGGCAAGTCATTATCATCAATTAAAATATTTAATTCAGTGGAAGAACTCTGATTACCTTCTTCATTCTCCAAAGGATTCTCGTTCGGTTCTGGTTCATGACAGTGTCCATACTGTGTGGGAGACTCGAAATTAGGTTCAGGGATTGATTTAGAAATTGATTTTTGTCGTCTCTTGTAAATCTGCAACTCGGATTGAGGTATTTGAGGCGAAGTGATATGTTGATCATGCCGAGGTAAATGTGTTTCGGTGGACTGGTTTGGCAAGGATACCTTTTTTGGGTTCGGTAGTGTTGTTTGGTATGGCTGTAGCGATTTTGTAGGCTTATTCGACTGGTTTAACTGGTTTGACGGTGCTGGTTGATCAAAAAGAGCTGGCTGCAAATCAAGTGACAATTGTTGTGAGTCAATAAACTGGTATTCATTATATAACTCCCCCTGAATAGCAGTTTTAAGGAAAAAATGTGTTTTTTCAAAGAAAGTAACATCCATAGTAATAAAGAATTTCTTTGTACGAGGATAATAACACCGAAAGCCCTTTTGAGTTGATGAATAACCCAGAAACACACACCGAAATGCTCGAGGATCTAATTTGGACATGAAAGGAACATTGTTATGAACGAACACAATACAATAAAAGACTGTAAGGGGTAACAATGAAGTCATCGGTTTAAAATTGGGAAAAACTGAAGAAAAATATCTCTTGGACACTTAAATTGTAACGGTTTACTAGGGAGACGGTTAATCAAATAAGTGGCAGTTAAAAGGGCTTCCCCCCAAAAATAGTTAGGAACATTTGTGGAAAAAAGTAGAGACCGAGTAACCTCAAGAAGATGCCTGTTTTTTCGCTCAGCAATCCCATTTTGTCGAGGAGAATTGACACACGAAGTAAGATGAATGATCCCGGTTTCCTGAAAGAAAGAACCCAAAACATTGGCAAAATACTCACTACCATTGTCAGAATGAAACATTTGGATTGAACACTGGAATTGGGTTTCAACCATCTTATGGAACCGTTTAAATATTTCACAAGCTTCAGATTTGGTTTTCATGAGAAAGGTCCAGGTAGTACGAGTGTGATCATCAATGAATGAAATAAACCACCGAAACCCATGTAAAAATACGACACGAGATGGTCCCCAAATATCACTATGGATCATGGTAAATGGTTTGGACGGTTTATATGGAGAAGGTAGATAAACACTCCTAGTTTGTATAGCAAGTGGACAAATATCACAAGAAAAAGATTTTGGACTCTTATTGATAAACAAATGTGGAAACAATTTTGCAAGATAAAAGAAACTGGGATGTCCTAAACGAAAATGCAATAACATAACATCGGTTGAAGGTTCAAGTAAAGGAAATTGTTGTATAACATGGTAGGAAGTAGATGGGTGGGAAAATAAAGTTGTTGGAAGTAGGTAAAGACCCCTACAAAGCCTAGCACTGCCAATCATTTTCCCCGAGCTAGAATCCTGAAATTCATAAAAATCAGAGTTAAATTTCGTGATACATCATAAATCGACAGACAACTTGCTAATGGAGATAAGATTGCAAGTAAGATTGGGAACATAAAGAACATGAGATAACAAAATGTCCTGATTTATTCGAATAGACCCATGACCGGCAACACCGGATAGAGAACCATCAGTTGTTCGAATATGAGAGATAGACGAGTCGGCATGAAAAGTGTGAAAGAGTCGAAGATCACCTGTTATATGATCACTTGCACCAGAATCCACAACCCAAGTGGGAGTGGTGGATGTATTAGCTAAAGTAGCAGAAGGAATTCTACCTGCAGGTACTGATTGGGAATGAGTGTTTAACTTACTAAAAATTGCTGCAACTCTTTCATTTGTTTTTTAGTAAACGAACTTCCTTGTAAATCAGTATTCACAACACAGTTTTCTTGAGTATCACGTTGTTGATGTTGTTTTGAAGACTTCCCATCAGTAGGCTTGCCATGTAATTTCCAACAGGAATCCCGCAAATGGCCAACCTTCTTACAATAGTCACACCAAAGTCTCCCCTTCTTTGGCCGAGTAGTAGTTTGAGAGTGAGGGATATAATTGTCATCATTCAATCGGTGACAGGTGATAGAGGCTGAAGAAACATCAGAATGGGGTGAATTAATGAGGATTTTCGAAGTGACCTCTAATGAAGAAGTGGTGGAATTCATGATCGACGCCTAGATTTAGGGTAAAAAAAGAAAAAGAAAAAAAATCGGCTAAATTTAAGTGAAAGATCGGTCACCTAGCTGATACCATGTTGATAAAGAGTAAACAACATAGTGGAGAAGAAAATGAACTCTTATTATTCTATATCGTGAATGGTGAAAATACATCTTTTTATAGGAAAAGTTAGGAGTAAGTTTTCTATTAAAAGTAAACTACTTAGTAGATATCTTTATCTATCTAACTTTCTAAGAGTTAGTGTTATATTAAAATACTAACTTATCTATTGCATAACCTACACATACACTTCTTTAAACTACCAATTCCTTCAAGATCATTTCCTGTGACAATTATGTCATTGATATACACCAAGAGTGCAGTTACTCCTCCTGAAGAAGAGTATTTCACAAAAAATGATGGCCACCTTGGCTCTGTTTAAATTCTTGTCTCAGCATCACTTTAGCAAATCTTCTAAACCAAGCTCTAGGAGACTGTTTTAATTTATATAGAACTTTTTTCAACTTGCAAAGCCTGTTTAGTACTTGGTCCAAATCCAGGTGGTATATTCATGTACACTTCCTCTTCAAGATCTCCATTCAAGAATACATTTTTAATGTCAAACTACTGCAAATTCCATCCTTGAGTAGTTGTGAAGGACAGAAGAACTCTTACTGAATTTAAACAAACTTAAAAATAAGGTTGTTATTATTTACTAAATAGTTTACAACCTTTGTAGAGTAATCAAAGTGTAAATAAGGAAACAATCCCTAAAAATCAGTAACTCCCTAAGAATTAGAAACTATGATTAGATCCTACTGCACAAGAGAACTCCTAGGAGTAAGGTAAGTAATTTATCCTTAATTTTAGGAATTTCAACACACTCCCTCAAGTTGTAGATATTTATCAAAACCAGCTTGCCAATAATTTCTTCAAACATGTTTTTGCTCAAGGTTTTGGTCAAGAAGTCTGCAACTTGTTGTCTCGTAGGTATGTAGGTAACACAAACCTCAGTTAATTTTTTCTTTGATGAAGTGATGATCAATTTCTACATGTTTGGTGCGATCGTGGTGAACAGGATTATGTGATACGCTGACAGTTGCCTAGTTGTCACAATGCATTTCTATAAGTCTTGTATAGGACACTTTTAGTTCTCCCAGTAGTCATCGTATCCAGATTCCTTCGCATATACCATGGGATAGTGCTAGATACTCTACCTCTGCACCGTTACATGCTATAACGAACTATTTTTTACTTCTCCATGTTACGAGATTACCCCAAACGTAGCTACAGTAACCATTTGTAGAACGTCTATCGTTAACAACACTTGCCCAGTTTGCATCAGTGTATACTTCTACACTTCGGTTAGCAGTTTTCTTGAAGTGCATGTGTTTACCGAAAGCTATATCTGGACGAGTGTAATATAGGTAGATAAGTCTCCTTACTAGTCGATGATATCTCCCCCTACCAAATTTTCTCCTTCCTGATCAGTTCCTAATGTAAGACTGAATTCCATAGGAGTTTTGTTTGGTTTGCAGCCCAACAAGCCAACTTTTGAAAGTAGATCAAGAACATACTTTCTTTGGGAGATGAAAATACCTGCCTTATACCTTGCTACCTCCATTCCAAGAAAGTATCTAAGATTCCCCAAGTCCTTAAGTTCAAATTCAACACTAAGAAACTCTTTAGCCTTTTAATTTCGCTTGAATCATCCCTTGTTAATATTATATCGTCCACATAGACAATGAGAATGCAACATTTTCCACTTTTTGAGTGTTTATAAAACACGGTGTGGTCAGCTTGTCCTTAAATATAGCTTCTACTAGTCATAGCTTTGTTAAATCGGTTGAACCACGCCCTTGGAGATTACTTTAGCTCATATAAGGACTTCTTTAGCTTACACACTTGGCCCTTGCTCTCTTCAAACCCGGGTGGGAAGTCCATGTATACTTCCTCATTTAATTCCCCATTGAGGAAAGTGTTTTTACATCCAATTGGGTCAAGGGCCAATCCAAGTTGACAACAAGGGATAAGAGAACTCGAATGGTGTTTAGCTTGGCAACTGGTGCAAATGTTTCGTCTTAGTCAATGCTGTCAATGCTATAGGTTTGACTAAACCCCTTAGCCACAAGTTGAGCCTTGTATCTGTCGATACTGCCATCGGGTTTAAATTTTGTAGTGAAGTTCCACTTGCATCCTACGGTCTTCTTACTACTTGGTAAACCCGAGACTTCCTACGTTTCATTGTCTTTGAGAGCCATTATTTCTTCCATCACAACTTGCCTCCACTCAGTTGATTTAAGTGCATCTACTATGTTTTTCGGAACTTCTGCAGTATCAACATTAGACACAAAGGCTTTATAAGACTTAGATAAGTTTCCATAGGACACAAATAGAAAAATAGGGTGTTGAGTGCAGCTCCTTGTTCTCTTTCGAATTGCAATTGGAAGATATATGGATGGTGATGGAGGTGAGAGTTCTGTTTCAGAACAGTCCTTGGTTCAGGATGAAATTGGCACTGTTGTTTTAGTTTTAGGAGAATAAAGTCGTCGAGAGTAAACCTAAAGTTCTGAAGCTTGTTCTTGTTTCCTTCCTGGATCATGTCGCTGTTGTTCTTCAGTAGTATGATTGATTATGCTAATTTCTTACTGCTGTACAGGAGAAACAATCCCTGAATATGGAATTACAATGGTTTTTAGGTTGTTAGGTTTGTTTGTGATAATAGAGGTAGGATCACAAGGTATAATGAGAAGTGTATTAAGGGTCTCATCTTCATTGAGAGTCTCCCTCTGAAGATGAGATGTTGCAAAGTATGGTTCATTCTAAAAAAAAGGTGACATCCCGAGAGACAAACATTGGGTGTAAGGTTGGTGAGTAACACTTATAGCCCTTTTGTGGGGGGGAATAGCCAATGAAGACACATGTGTAGGCTCGAGGATCAAATTTGGATTAATTGGGTTGATGTTTATGGACAAAGGTTTTGTAACTGAATATTTTTATTGGTAGGTTGGGAATAAGAAATAAGGGAAAGGCCTTTTGAAGTGTATGTAGAGGTA